CCCTGGGGGCGTAGGACTAAACCGGCAACTATTTTTGTTGACCTTTGTCCATGGAAGGTCCCTGCAAAATTTCATTGCAATTGGTTCAGGGGTTTTGGAGAAGAAGATTTTTGAAATTTTAGTCAATTTGACCCCTTTTGGCCCCGCCCCTCAGGTCCCTGGGGGCGTAGGACTAAACCGGCAACTAGTTTTGTTGACCTTTGTCCATGGAAGGTCCCTGCAAAATTTCATTGAAATTGGTTCAGGGGTTTTGGAGAAGAAGTCAAAAATGTAAATTGTTTACGGACGGAGGACGGACGACGGACAAAAGGCGATCGCAATAGGTCACTTGAGACTTTGTCTCAGGTGACCTAAAAAGTTCATGTTGTACAAATAACCAGAAGACACAAATACAATTTCATGTTTGTTAACCCTTAGGCTGCTACGCTACGCACGGCATATGCCGTTTTGAAAAGTCGGGTCGTCAGTGCCATCATTTTCATCGCTTCAATCTACACGTCCGCCATTTTTATGACTTTTTTGCGATTTGAAATTCTCTTGCACACCTTTGGTCATTACTCGGGTACACTGCCGGGAATATCGAAAGTAATGACAAAACAACCAATCAGAAGCCTTCTACTATACACGTTCAGGTTTGGTATAGCAACAACCCGACTTCATACTTCCTGGCTAATGATCAAAACCTACAGACCAAGAAACGGCAAATGCCGTGCATAGCACTGACAACCTGACTTTTCAAATCGACATATGCCGTGCGTAGCAGCCTAAGGGTTAAGAAGAAGTTGTTTAAAGTTAAATATTGATGCAGGACAACGGACGGACGGACGGACTAACAACGGACGCTGCACCACAGCTAAGCTCACTTGGCCCTTTGGAAGTCATTAGCCAAATATAAGATTCTATACCTCTTAGTTCTTCAGAAGAAGTCTTTCGAAGCGTTTGACATATTTGACCACTGTGACCTTGAAAGTAAGTCAAGGGTCATTTTCATTCTCAAACTTTGTTGGACTCTATCCCAGGAAGCCACCAGTCAAATTTGAAGATTCAATACCTTTAAGTTCTTAAGAAGAAGCCGTTTGAAGTGTTTGACACATTTGACCCCTGTGTAAGTCAAGGTCATTTTCATTCTCAAACTTTGTCGGGCTCCTACCAGCAAAGCTTTCAGTCAAATATCATGACTCTATGCCTGTTCGTTCTTTAGAAGAAGTCGTTTAAAGGAAAAGTTGACGGACGACAACGAACAGACGACGAACGCCTCACCATGACATAAGCTCACTTGCCCTTCGGGCAGGTGAGCTAAAAACAGGGCCTTAAATTGCTCACTGAGCTTCTTTGGAAATCAGCCCAAAAGTGTTCAAAAATTCTCAGTACGAATATTTAATAACTTCTTTAAAACATACCATAACTAGAACTGTCGCCTATGGGCTAACTTATACCCCCCAAATTATGGCTGCTTGTTGCCCCTATAGGAGCTAAATAAACAAAGGAAACATGAGGCCAAATGGGCCTGCATCGCTCACCTGGTATTAGTCTCACAATTGTAACCTTAAAAGTGGACTAAAATAAAGCTATAAACAAAGTACATGTATCAGTGTCTTGACTTCAAGTCATTCAGAAGAACCTGTTTAACGATTAAAACAAATTTGACCCCTGTGACCTTGAAAGTCAAACATGGACATTAAGTTGAACAAACTTAATAGCCCTTCCTCCCAGAATGCAACATGCCAAATATCATCACCTTAGACCTTGTGTTTATTGAGAAAAGGACTTTTAAAGATGTATGCACTATGGATCAAATGTGACCATGAAAGTGTGTCACAGTCATTTACATCAACAAGCAATCACACTGTATGCTTTAGTTATTAAGAAAAAGTCATTTAAAGATTTCAACATATTTGACACCTGTGACCTTGAATATAGATGAAGGTCAGTCATTTTAACAAACTTGGTAGCCCTTCATGCCAACATCCTTCTGGCAAAATATCATCACCCTGGACCTTTTGGTTATACAAAAGAATTTGTTTAAATATTTCAATATATTTTACCCCTGTGACCTTGAAAATGGGCAAAGGTCATTCATTTGAACAAACTTGTTAGCCCTTCATCCCCACATGCTTCTGGCCAAATATCATCATCCTGGTCCTTCTGGTTATTCAGAAGAAGTTGTTTAAATATTTCAATATATTTTACCCCTGTGACCTTGAAAATAGGCAAAGGTCATTCATTTGAACAAGCTTGGTAGGCCTTCATCCCAGCATGCTCCTGGTCAAATATCATCACCCTGGACCTTTTGTTTATACAAAAGAAGTTGTTTAAAGGTTTTCAAGACAATTGACCACTGTGACCTTGAATACAGATGAAGGTCATTCATTTGAACAAACTTGCAATTAGTAGCCCTTCATCCCCACATGCTTCTGGCCAAATATCATCATCCTGGTCCTTCTGGTTATTCAGAAGTTGTTTCAAGATTTTAATATATTTTAATATATTTAACCCCTGTGACCTTGAAAATGGGCAAAAGTCGTTCATTTGAACAAGCTTGGTAGGCCTTCATCCCAGCATGCTCCTGGGCAAATATCATCAGCCTGGGCCTCTTGGTTATTCAGAAGAAGTTGTTTTAAGTAAAACGCTGACGCCGAACGGACGCACAATGCCATAAACACACTTGGCCCTTCAGGCCAGGTGAGCTAAATACATATAGAAAGGTAAAGGATTATATGCCATATCGTCAGACCGATGGAAAAGACAAACACCACTACTGTGACCTTTGACTCAAAGACCTCGGAACTTTGTCATAATGAAGCTTGCATCAATGCTACATTTACTCCAAGGTATGTGTATACAAAATACCTATCATTTCTGCCATAACCATGACCTTTGACATCATGACCTTGGAAGTTTGTCATAATATGCCTGCATAATTGGCTACGATACTCTTATGTATATGCATATACAAAATACCTACAGTTTCCAAGATATGTATAATTAGCCATTTCGGTAACTTAATTCATTCGTAACCTTTGACCTCTGACCCCATGACCATGGAAGCTGTCAGTAGAGTAGATTCCTAGATATTTAACCATTTCAGTAACATAATTCATTCGCGACTTTTGACCTTTCAAAACGTCGTAAGCTGAAACCTGACAAAAAAACTGTTATATATATAACCATTTTTGCTTCTAGTATTACCATACCAAATTTGGAAGGAAATGAATAAAAAATAAAAAAAGTTCTTGCGTTTTCTATACAATGTCATGTTCTAGAGAAGGTTTATGAACCAAGGGCCATAACTTTGTAAAAAGTGAAAAGTACTTTACGCACCTCTCCAAGCTGCAAGGATTGTTAACAGCAAATTTCATTGAAGTCCATCCATGTACTACATTGCGTCCACAGACGGACGGACAACCCAATTCCAGTTTACCCCCCGCAATGAATTTGTTTCTGAGATGTACTACCTACTTATTTTCGAGTTTCTTGTATACATCATCAATGGCAAAAAAACTATTCATAAATATATATATATCCTACATATTCCCCGAGCAGAACCAACAGCAATCGTTTTGAATTTTGAAGTATTGTTAATACAGAGGTATGCATGTTTATAATCTGACAAATACCAGTTACATGTACTATCAAGTATATAACAAAATCAGACCAGAAGAAAAAAGTTTGGATCTTAAAGATCTCAGCTTAAATCAGAAGACATGGCAGACATTTTGTTTTATGGGATTGGGTTACCCAGGTAATAAGTCTGTTTCACAATATTCACTATCCACTTAGTACCATTCATCATCTATTATAAATCATGAATATAGTTATATCAATGAAACTCAATTAAGTTATAGTCATATATCATATGTGTAAGACAATCGTATATAGCAACAGATCTAGAGATGGTAGTGTTTTCTTGACTGTTTGGGGAATTTGATTTTATTGTTAACTTGGGAGAAATTGACACGTTGTGAAATCATTTTTTGGTCAGCAAAATTTGTAAAAGCCAGAATGTTTACAATCATGATACTACCAAATGAACAGATTGATAAAATAAGGTAAAACAGATGGAAATGGGTAACTAGATAATCAACCTGTAAACAAAACAAGAGGCCCAGAGGGCCTGTATCACTCACCTGGATATCTAAGCAATCATGGCAAAATATTCTCAAAATGAGACCCAAGGGAATATGCCAGACCCCAACCCCAGACCCTGGGGTCAAATCTAACATCATGACTGCATTCGTCTCTTTATGCCCAACAATTGTATATATAGTTTTGGGGTGGGGATCTTAACCATTTCAAAGTTATGACCCAGGGGTTAAGTCTCCAAGGGTGGGGCAGACCTCAAGGCCATCCTGGAATCATATGTGCATTCATCTCTTTAATTTATACTCAGCAAATGTAGGTATGGCTATATGGTGGAGATCTCAACCATTTCCATGTAATAAACTTTTTTGGCCCCACCCCTTAGCACAGGGGGGCCAGCGCCAAAATTTGTACAATTTTGAATCCCTGCCTCCCATGAATACTTCTGACCAAATATGATCAATATCCATGGCATTATTCTACAGAAGTCATTTGTAGCAATATAGCCAAATTGCCCCCTTTTGGCTCTGCCCCCTGGGAGGTCAGCCCAACCATTTGTACAATTTTGAATCCCCACCACCTAAGGATGCTTCCAGTCAAATATGGTTGATATCCAGTGCATAGTTCTACAGAAGTCATTTGTAGCAATCTAGCCATATTGCAACTTTTGGCCCCACCTCACAGCCCCCTGGTGGGGTCAGCCCAACCATTGGTAAAATTTTGAATCTCAACTACAAAAGGATGCTTCCAGTCAAATATGGTTGATATCCATCTCTTAGTTCCAGAGAAGTCGCTTAAATTAATATAGCCCAATTGCCTCCTTTTGGCCCCGCCCCTCAGGCCCCTGGGGGGCCAGACCCACAGTTTATACAAAATTGGTTCCCCTTCACCCAAGGATGCTTCAGACCAAATATGGAAAAAAATCCTTTTATTCCTGCAGAATAAGAAGGATTTTAAAGAATTTGCTGTGTTCCCCATATTTGGACCCACCCCTCAGGCCCCTCGGGGGCCAGACCCACGGTTTATACAAAATTGGTTCCCCTTCACCCCCAGATGCTTCAGACCAAATATGTCTTCTGAAAAATATATTGGCAAGATTTTCTTTCCTAGGGATTGAGGTACAATGTACAAAGAAAATCTTGTCAATTGTTTTTATAGGTATTATTTATATTTATGAACTAATGAACTACATAATAAATACATGTACATTTGTAAGATATGTTTTCCCTAGATTTCAGTATTGTGAAAACCATGATTATCACATCAAAACACTACAAAACATGATTTTTAACCCAAAATTTGACCCCCACAGATATGAACTTATCTGAAATTAGGCATTACCTATTTGGTTTCAGAAGTACTCATTTGGTGGATTTTTCACAGTATTTACAAATGTGCTGAGTACAAAAATCGACTACATGTATTAAAGAGCTCTAGCTTTTTTATGTAGACACAGATTGTAAATGTCAAAAATGTACTCTCAAACCAAATGCATTTTTTCCCCTTGAAACTTATGAAGCCTACGTACATTGTGCACATCATGATGTTTATGACAGTTAAAGAGCTGATTTTTGTTGACATTTTGATACCTATAATGCAAGAGTTACTAATTTTACATAAAATATCACCCATGACTATTGTATGTTACTGTATATTGCTAACTTTACTCATACTTACATGGATTCCTTCTAAACTTTTCAGGGTCCCTGCGTCCAATTTTTGTAGATTTGTTTTAGTTATTACATAATGTGTCTTTGCCTCCACCAATCTCCTCTCAATCATTTTCCAGAATGACGGTGCATGCTGTCCATTGTTTTTCTTCCTATTTTCCATTTTTCTATCCTTTCTATATACATGTATATCTTCTGAATCTGTTGATTTGACATTGTTAGGCTTTATATTTGTTCGTTTGTTCACTTTAATTTGAGTCCGTCTCTCTTCCAACTTGTCACTTTGAAGCTTAACTGCAACAGAAAAAAACAAAATTAGGACAAAAAGTCATAGTGCATGCACTATATCATATTTTGGTATGAGTGGTATTGAAATTCTACCCGAGGGTGCAAAATCTGGATTCAGAACAGAGGTTATCTTTATTTCTGACACATTTGCGATGTAATGCTAGTTTTCATTGGTTAATGGACAATAGACCATGCAGGCGGCGCATGTATTCTTTTCAAATAGACCAACACTCTCCCCAGAAAAACGGTGAAGAAAAGAAAAATCTGATTATTTTATTAATTAAGTTAGACTCGCTTTCACAAGCTTTGCACTTATGTTTTAAATATCATGTTTTATGATTGTGGCTCTCCCTACTTTTAGCACTATGTAACATTGGTCAATTTCATCCTTCCTAGCATAAAATGCTGTTGAAAACATTTATAAACGAACAATTATGTCTCTGCAGAAACTTAACAAAATGAAAACCCTCATAAATACATATAATAATGATTTGAGGTTCTTGTATACCGCTTTATCACAACCTAGTTCGAAGGTCGTCTGAAAACGGTTCACAAATTAGTATCCGTGGTTATAGGGAACCAAAATCTTCCTCAACTCCCTGGGGAGCATACAGACAGTGCTGCCATTTCGGCACTCACAGAGCATTCAACAATTCCAGCACTACCCAGCCATGTACTCATTTACAGCTGAGTAGACTGGAACAAGCTGAGTAAAGTATCTTGCTCAAAGATACAACACTGTGCCGTGACCTTTTTTGGGGGCAATATTATGTATATTTGTCTAGACAACTCCTTCTAAAGTATTGGACCAATTTCAACGAAAGTTTCTAGATATGATAACTACCACCTGTGCATCAAGGTATTATTTTTTCCATTCTGCCTTTTTTTTTACAAAGGTATATGGCCCTTTGTTGATAAATCCTTGTCCAGATATGTCCTCCAAAACTAAGTGGTCAATTTCAACGAAAGTTTTCAGATATCATGATAACTACCATCTGATGTTGTGCATCCAGGTATTAAGTTTCAATCTGACCCTTTTTTTTACGGAGTAATGGCCCTTTGTTGAAAAATATATGTCCAGACAACTCCAAAACTATGGGGCCAATTTCAAAGAAAGATTACAGATAACCACCCCCCCCCCCCCCCCCCTCCCGACATTGTGCATCCATTTAGTATGGTCATAAGGAGTTATGGCCCTTTGTTGAAAAAAAACTTTGTCTGCCTCATGAACTACTTGGCTGATTTCAATGAAAGTTTACTGATATGGTAATTATCCCCTGATGCCGTGTATCAGCCTAATGAAAGGGTAGTGTTTGTTTATTTCGACCCTTTTTAAGGAGTTATGGTCCTTTGTTAAAAAACTTTGCCTTGATAAATAACTAATCGATAAATGAACTTTAGATGATGTGCTATTTGATAACATTCTGTGATAATATGAATTCACTAGACATGTTATAAACATTGAAGCTGAAAAGTACAATAATGTTTATAACAAATCTAGCTCTTTTATAAAAACATTGAATGTTAAGAAAGGCAGGGTTGCAAACTCTCACGGCGTGAGTCAAAATCTCATGCATTCGTCACGCTGAGACGACCTTACTCACGCATAATCATGCCTCACGCCACGTGAGCCATAAATCTCACGCATTCGAAAATATTCTGATTTTAGGTCGGGCCTTCACAAGGATTAAGAGAAAACGATTCTTGCATCACGAACAGACAGTCGCTAATGGCTGATGAAAAGTTCGAAGTTATTTTTTGCAGTAAAGTGGTGTACATGATTTAACACACCAGAGACTTGTAGTAATAAACAATTTTAATCTGATGCGATGAAAAAATAACGAGTAATCGTTTCGGGAAGTGCTTTGGCATGTTGGATAGACATAGTACGTAGGTAGTCCAATACATAATCATGCAACAAATCGGATTGCAAATGTGGTATAAATGCTAAGGGTCTAACTGTTATTTGTTGCTTAGGATAGTAGCCAGAAGTAATTGTAAGATATTTTTCCACTGTCAAATTATCATATTTTTTTTAACTTTCATGTCATGAACTTTTTCATGTTACTATGGTAAAGTTCTTACTTTTGATACGAACTGGGGGTTTTTTAACAGTTCATGGAAATACAGAAAAAAAAAGACTGGTACACGTACCTGTTCTAGCCAAGGGTGGAATCGTTACAAGAAAGGCCTTTGATTATATAATGTGTTGCATTTCTGATGTCAGTTTTTGTGTGATAAATAAAAATCTTTTATATATCTGCAAAAATTGTTTTGTTTTATTTTCCTACAAAGATCTTGAAGTGAAAATATCAACAATGCAGATGTTATAGTAGTCAGAGAAAGCCAGGATTTGTTCGATACATTTGTAAATGTTATCTTAACACCCAAAACGACGTTACGCCGCGACGCCGTCAAAAGTCTCACACATTGTAAAACCCAGTGGTCGGAGATCTCCCACACTGGGCTCCTAAGAGGTTGGCAACCCTGAGAAGGACATTTTATATGAAGTTTAAGTAGTGTTTATGGTCAAAGGTCTATGGTTTTACGCGCATATATATATGCCGGTAAAATATGTTACGTTTTTACCATGATTTTTGTACTTTTTCCATAGCAACAATCATCTTCTTGTGAGGCTGGAATATTTCTCCTCGCATAGTAAAGAGAAATAAAGCCCCGCATGACCTAGATATATAATAGATCTTCAAATAACATGTCATTTCGTAACATTCAGTTGGGTCGCTTAAGAGATTGACATGTTATAAATCTTGTAAGCAACTTTTATAATTACATCAGCCTTAATGCCGTATTTCGATTTTGTTTACCTTGTTATGTACCTTTTTAGTAGCTCATGTACAAATTCAATATATATATATATTCCGAACATTGATGAGGGTATTTGAGTATGACTTGCCAGGGGGTTGACATTTAGGGTGACTATTACAATTTGTAGGGGGCTTGTTGAACCATAATGTGTATATTGTTGATACATCAACACAGACTCCAGTGGTGACATGTATATATGCTTTTGAAGATTTTTTTGTAATTTTTAGGTATTATATTAAAACTTGTAAATAACAAGGATGCAAAATTAGTAAAGAGACTGGTGGTAACCTTCAAGTGAAGATTTGAAAGAAGGTATTTCCTCACTAAGGGCCAGTAACATTGGTAATGAGTTCCAGGTGATAATAGTTCTTGGGGGGAAAAAAGACAATTTGTAGGCGTCTTTTGCGGTAGATATTGTGTTTATTTTAGGTGCCCCCTTGTTCGTCTGTCACCTGATGTCCAGTATGATGATGGGTTAATTTTAACGATGTTATGCAAGATCTTGCATAGCATTGACAATCTAGCTTTTGCCCTTCTTTGCGATAAAGATTTCCAATCTAATGATTTCATCATGTTTGCAATACAGCCTGGATCTACAGACCTGTACTCATTAAAAGTGTATCTCGATGCTCTACGTTGTACATTGTCTAATTGTTGTATGTGGTTGATGGAATAGGGATCCCAACAAGTTGAGGCATATTCGAAAAACTGGTCTTACAAGAGTAGTGTATGCCTGTGATTTAACTTTCCTAGAACATGAAGACGTAGAAAGCCCAAGGTCTTATTGGCCTTGTTGGTCACTGATTGAATGTGTTTGCCCTAAATTAGGTCGGACCTGAAAATGACACCAAGATATTTGTTAGTATCTACATTTTCTAAAATCTGATTATGAAGGGTATAATTATAATTAATGGTGTTTCTTTTGTTCACGATACTTTAATAAAAGAACATTTATTGCTATTAAACTTCATTTGCCACTTTTCTTCACATTTTTCTAAAGACTTAAGGTCATTGTTCAACTTAGCAAAGTCTTCAATAGAGTTTATTTATGTATATAATAGACAGTCATAAGCATATAGGCCTATAGTTTTATATTTACATGAAACTGAGTCGACAATATCATTTATGTACACCAAAAATAGGAAAGGGCCGAGAACTGTCCAATGAGGGACCCCCGAGAGGACACAGAACAGGACAGCTATCCGATTTTGTTCCATTTAGCAAGACTTTCTGGGATATAGAATTCAAAAACTGAGATATACCTAGTCGCGATAGATCGTGAAACTGTTAGTGTTCGTTATAATAATCAAGGTTTTCGCTTAAGTTCCATCTATTTTATACTTAACTTACCCATTTTTAAACTATCTGTGCTGGCATATCTGTACAACAATGTTTGTATAAATGAGCTTTTTCTCGACAGCAATTTGCAGAAAGTGCCAGGACCATTACACCTGGTCGCGGCCATTATGGATCGTACTAATCTACAAATAAGATATCGGCTTACGACTTTCCGGAAATCGAACTTCGGTTTGCCCCCGGTTGAGCCACAGGGTCACGTTACAAATATCTGAAATACACATATGCTATACTGATACGGGTCACAACACACATAAACATACACTTCCCTTGTGTATGTTTATGTGTGTTGTGGTCCGTATCAGTATATATAGCATATGTGTATTTCAGACATTTGTAACGTGACCCTGTGGTTGAGCCAAACATTTGTATTATTTTAGGTAAAACATCATATTACCACACATATTTGATCAGTGAAAATAGCGTATAATGACAAATATAGATAAATCATACACCTGAATAACATAAAACAGATCAAATAAAATCGAGTTACAAGATACAAGAATTTTTATTTAGTGTCGTGTTTGTAACAATGCAACTTTAGCTCAGAAGAGCTATTCTTACGACTATTTTAACAATCATAATTAATAAAAACAATAAAATATCACAAAGGTGGCATGCATCACAGATGGTTGAATAAAAGGTAAAATAGCACGGTAATTAAAGGTCATGCGAACATAAAGCTCATCATAGTGCAGCATATAAATTAATTTAAGAGACGTTTAAGTATAATGTACATATATGCCAATATGGCAAAAACTAAAAATTGACAGAATACATGCTAATATAGCATAATCTAAAACAACAATGCATATATTTATGAAACAATATTTAGGAATTTACAGCATAAAAGAAAAATTACACAAAAGAAAGTAAAGCATCACTATAAGAACTAAAACTTATGCATGACAACTATTTCTGGAGCAATAAGAACAAAAAAAACCACCAAAAAAACAACACAACCTAGAACCAAAAATCAATCCTTCATCTTTGTGCAGATGGAACATGTACAGATGGGACCATCCCAGGTGTGGACCAGCCTCCGGAATTTTGGGAAGTATTCACATCTCCGCAATTCATTTGGAAGACTGTTCCACACCCGGACCGCCTCAAACGAGAAGGATTTCTGCCCATACCTTGTAGTTTTTACAGATGGGATGCTGACTGTGAAGTCCCTTCTAAGATCATAAGCAGATTCCCTTAGTTTACTAAATCACGTATATAATTAGGAGAAATCTTGTGTAGTATTTTAAAAACTTCACAGCCCATATCTTTTAGCCTCTTAACATGTAAAAGAGTACTATTAGTAGATTTTATGTTTTGAGTTGGAGTGATCAGTCAGAGTTTCATCTGGGTCCCGATACCTGCAGACTTCGACATTTTGACAGACAAAATATCAAAGTCTGGTGTATGGGCACGGAATTAGATCTAAGTCCGTGGTATGGGCCAGAGGAAACTCTGGCTACCCGGCGGTCTATTTTCGCGCAGGTTTTTTCACGTTTTGCTTGCAGCACGTAGACGTATATTATATATCATACTGCACAAACTATGCTTTTGTATATTTTGATTTTAACTAAGTCTCAGTGTAGATTATAGCACGGAATTAGATTATCTAAGTCCGTGATTATAGACAGTATTTATTCACATTTTTATCTTTTTATTCCTTGAATTCACAATCTCACGATTTCAAGATGAATTCTTCACTATAAAGTTAGGCTTCGGCTAGCCTGTTATGCATGGAATGGGCAGGAACGCGCAGAAACGGGCAGGAAACAGTAGAAACGGACAGAAACGGGCAGGAACGGGCAGAAAATAAATCTATTAATTATTATATCCATTAATGGATATATATAATAGATACATTTAAGTATCATTATCGGGTATAAGATATATTTGGTAAAAGGATTGTAATTACATGATCGGTGCAGAATCGGAATAAATTATATCTATATATACATTTATGTCGTTATAAATATAATCATGAGACCTATATTTATGTTATTATATATTTTTTATCGGGTATAAGATCTATTTGATAAAAGAATTGCAACGAATTAAGAGTATTGTATTGATATGGATCGGGCAGGAACGGGCAACGATTTACAGGAACGGACAGAAACGGGCGACGATTTACAGGAACGGATAGAAACGGGGCAGGATCGGACTTATTACTCTATATTTATTGTATATAATTATCCTTATCGGGTATAAGGTATATTTGATTAAAAAAATGCAATTACATACTCGGGTCAGATTCGGACTAAATTAATAATATATATATATTTATATTGTTATATCTTTTTTATCGGGAATAAGATATATATATTCGATATATTTAAGTATCATTATCGGGTATAAGGTATATTTAATAAAAGAATTGCAATTACAGGAACGGGACAGGATCAGACTAAATTGTATATATATATTGCCAGGCCGAGTTTCCAATCTATGTCTCTGTTTTATTCTATAAAAAAGGTTGTTCAGAGAATTATATATTACATATATAATAAATATGTATCTGGGTTACTTTCTCATTTAATATAATTGATATTGTTATTGCTATGTCATAACACATGAAACATTGGAAATGACATTATGTAACCAAATTTATAGTCAACTCTTAATAAATAGCATGAATATATTTTGAGTGAATTAATTGGTGTAAATGTGTAGATTACAATCCCATCACGTCAACGATCTTAAAAAAAATCATTAAGGTTGAATTAATCCTTTGTTCTTGTACTAATTGATGTGCAGACCATGTGATCGCTTAACAGTTCAATCAAAGGAACCTTCTAACTATCTTTCAAAGAAAATACGCAATTTTCCAACTCAAAAAAGGGACATCAGTCTGAAAATTAATTATCATTATATATGTAAATATAAGTTAATTGAAATACGTGTTTTACGTAAATAAATATTGAAGTCCATATGTTGGATTGTTTGACCACATATAGGCCTTATCTGTTTTAGAGAAACGCTATAAGTTTCAATTTTCAAAGGCCGATGTGGTCAAAACTGATTATCTAATTCCGTAATAGTAAACAATAGACTTCTTGTTCTAAAAAAAACGTATATTGATGACTCTGTCGGCAAATTTCTTAGGAATCAATCACCTGCGACACAAGCCAATCATCGTTCCAGGTAAGTACCCCACCTTATCAGTGACCCCGCCCTCCTGTAACACATAAGCTGAACGGTTAATTTGGTGGCTTTTGAATATTGGCGTCGGGTGCCGAGTGGACAATTTAGATTGGGTAATTACACATACATGTATATGATTATCTTTCCTGATGAAGCTGAGAAAATGAATTATTCAATGGTATCTCACCGGACAGCAACGCAGATTTTTTTTCCACAATAAAACGTTTCAAATTTGTATTCTCTGGTCTTATTGAACGTGCATCAAAATAGAACACATTTCCTTTGAACATTTCCATTGTGTCTGGTAAGCTCTGTCTCGTCAGAGACGTCTCGTGTGCCAATCAACTTTGCTTCCAATATCATGCGGGACTCGGTCCGTACAAGTGATTGGGAATTGTTGAGCGTTTTTTTTTGTTCAACATATTTCTTTTTAATTAAAATATATTTTATTGCTTCAAAATTCAAGCAAGTTGGATTGGGCACAAGTTATTACAACTTATTAAAGCCCTCTCCTCAACAATTGTACTACAACAATGTGATAGCGACAATAGACATATATGTACATTTTATACCATAAAACGAATTTGGAAATCAAAATAAGGTAAGAAGGAGCTTTGCTATTAGACCTCTGTGCCAAACTCTATCAAAGGCCTTTGAGATGTCACAAAAGACAATACACGTATCTTTCTTTTCTTCCATATTCAAACAAATATTATGATAAAGCTCAATCAGCTTGTGTACTATTTCATTTCCGAATAAATCTGAACAAGGTATTGGTCACAAATTGTTACAACTTTTCATAACCTTTTCCCGTAAATGTAAAGTTATTTCCTAATTAGTGTCACAAACTCAAGGTTATATGTATACAGTACAGTCGAATCAAGTTTGAACACGGAATGAGGCAACAAGTTTTCATGTCATTTAGTAATAAAGTAATTGAAAGGACTTCGAATCATATACAATCCATATCCTTTTGAATTTCATAGTATTTGAGTATTTAATTTAACTGAAGGTTTGTTGAAGCATTGTTATATAATTGATACTGTTATGTTTAAAAAAAATTGAATAACTAACATTTTTGAAAAGTAATTTTAAATTTTCTAAATATTTCCTGTTAAATTTATATATATGATCTTAATAACACCATTTTATGACATGAATAGAATTAATATAGTGAGACTTATTATAATATTTCTAACTGCTTGAGTCGCATGTATATGTTTAAATGATATACCCGATACAAAATATATAATAATACAAATATAGGTATCATAAGTAATGACGACATAAATATATATTTTTTTAGTCCGATTCCGACCCGATCATGTCTTTTATCAAATATACCCGATTAGGATAATTAAATATATACAATAAATATATATAAATAAGTCCGTTCCTGCCCCGTTTCTGTCCGTTCCTGTAAATCATCGCCCGTTTCTGTCCGTTCCTGTAAATCGTCGCCCGTTCCTGCCCGATCCATATCAATACATTACTCTTAATTCGTTGCAATTCTTTTATCAAATACATCTTATACCCGATAATGATACTTAAACGTATCTAATATATTTATCCATTAATGGATATAATAATTAATAGATTTCTGCCAGTTCCTGCCCGTTTTTGCCCGTTTCTGTTCGTTTCTGCCCGTTCCTGCCCGTTTTTGCCCGTTTCTGTCCGTTTCTGCCCATTTCTGTCCGTTTCTGCCCGTTCCTGTCCTTTCCTGTAAATCGTCTAACCGATTTTGGGTTAGTAGTGTTAACACGATCGATGACTGTTTATATATTTGGGTAATGTCGTGATTAGAAAGTGTTCTTGTTTCTGTCTTGATAACGGAAGTTACTCTTTTTTACTTATTTGGCCCCGTGACCTTGAAATAGATCAAGGCCATTTTTGACACATGCGTTAGGTAACGCAAGTGTCTAGGGGATCGCACATACTACGAAATTTGCCTGGTCTTCTCTCTTCAGGCTTCCTTCTTCAGTCTTCGTTCTTCTTCTAGTCGCTTGGATTTACAAAACATGTAGTCATGAATAGCCAGGCACCTGTTTGATACGTACGGTAAACCCGTTCATTCATGCCAAAAACGTTTTTTCT